ACACGCTACGACAACTTTATGACGACATGAATTGTGGGGACTGTGTCCGGGTCGGGGGGCCAGCTGTCCGTCATCAACCTCGACGACGTCGTCCGCGACTGGTGTGTCCGGCGGGAAAAGGTTGAAGTTTGGGAACACTGTGCTCGCCTACAAGGGACTGGAATGAGTGAATGACGGAACATGCAGTCTCCGTTCTTGCTGATGAAACTGAGTTGCGTTCGCTGGTGACCGGGGCCAGTGTGTAGATCTGGGGAAAGTAACGTACCCCGAGTCCCGGAACGCCGTCGGTGGTGTCTCTCGTTCCCCGGACCTGACAGAGAATAGCTTCATCCTTGTTTAATTTCCAAACTCCAGGATTGAGCCGTTGTTGAACACCACACTCCCTGAGGCACCTGAAAACTAATTTGTAGCGAGCCGTCTGCGGCGTGTTGTTCCTGAATTGTTAGATTGTATGTATTGGAGACGCAATACAATGACGAGGCGAGGTGATGAGGCGTGCAACTTGATTCCGGGGACTTTGGAATCGTTGCACTTGGGGATAGCATCACGTCCCTGGATGAAAGGACGTCATCTGTGTCGTTCCTGCCCAGGATTGCGGCTGATTCCAGATCGTGGGGGATGGGGGTTTGCCGAGATTGGCTACTGTGTGACCTAACTACATACTACTAGAATACCGCACACATCCAGATAGTGCATCTAAGCTGACGCATCTAGAATTCCAGGAAGCCAAGCTACTGCACGAGCCAGCAAATCTCCCGATATCTTTGTTTTCCCAAGGTCCGTAATTGCACCCAATCTTCCCTTTCTTGATGACTCCTTCTGCCCATCCAGTTCTAGACCTATGCAGGTCGGCCCAAGTGATGCCTGTCCCATGGTGTCGTGAATCTGGGGAACTTGGGCTAGAGTTTGGAGGCCTGTCACGTGTGTGTTGTTCTCCGGCCCAGGTTGGACCCCAGGACAACCAATGCAGAATGCGCAGTTGCGACCGGTAGCGCAGACATTACACCATCGCAAAGCCGGGGAACCATCTTCTCGGGAGATTCGAGGGGCACGAGCAAAGTCCAGGGTAAAACCAGGTTGGACGAACCGGTCAGTGCGTTATTCCAATAGCGCCGGCCAACCCCTTCCTACGAGTTCGTCATCAACCGCGGCCTGTAGCAGGATTACCCGACAACGAACAAACCAGCCCTCTCACGAACACTAGAATATAGAGGTAGCCTATACCAGAGACGTTCTGATCGAACAACCGAAGGGCTTCGAATCAACGCACTTCGATGCCCAGCATTCCCGGCAACCAGACAGATAACGGCTGCCATGCCAAGAAACTCATGAATCGGACCTTTGTAAGCAAACTTTTGCCTGGGCCCGCTCCCCGCTCGCTGGAGAATAGCCTCCTGTGGGGAGAATGGGAAGAATCTCGCTACAATCCCCACTACTTTGCTGTGCTCGACCGGTATCGGAGATTATGGATCTTCTCGAAGTTTGCAGGCGGAGACCTGGGACGGGCGGATGGACTAGAGGTGCACTAGTGTAATGGCTGAGCTGTTCTTGATGGCTTCTTTCCAGCTTCTTTTGCTTTGCCTTTGTAGCTTGTTCTGAAACGGTCTGGACTCCTGAGGCTCGATGGTCGTTGATCGGCCGAACCTCGACCTGCCGTGTTGATAGTCGGCATGTGATGATGAGCTGGTACTACTGCTTATGAGATGCGTTGGACCGTTAGCTTCTGCTGGCAACACCACTCAAACAATGATCACAGAGGTCGAGATCGTCGGCTCTGGTTGGGGTAGTGGAAGACTGGCGTCGTTGGGTGGTTGGAGTTTCCTGATTGAGGACTTGGAGAAGCACCAGGCACGGCAGGTCGGGGTATCCGAGCCCGGTTCTGATGGATCCTTTCACGTGTTATCTAGGCGCTTTTAGAAATGAGCCACAAGGGTCTTCAGCCACGTGCCGATAAGGAACTCTTACGTACAATCGGCCTCCAGCCACAGCCTTGCGTGTCCCCGGTGATGCAAGTAAACAAACAATGAGCCTGGGCAACATCCAATCGCGTCTCTGATCGGCTTGCCAAATGTTTTGTCATTGCAACTTCCCAAATACGTATCCCCCACCACCACCGTCCGTCGCAACCGTTGTGCGCATTGTGTTGCGCAGCGTGGAGAAACAACAAAACGAAGATTCGATCAAATATTCGAAATTGACGCATCATTAGTATTGTTCAGTCGACGTCCGGGATATGCATCGGCTTCGCGACTAAAAGCACGAGTTCCCGATTCCGTTTGCGACAGCCTCGACGTTTGCGTGATCGCATTCCCAGCCACTGGCCAACGCTTAGCCAAGCGATAAAAGACACATCATCGTTAAACCAAGAAGCGAGGGGGATTCCGACGAATTTTCTCGAGACATAACGGTTCTGATCGAATCGACGTCCTGCCACAACAGCGCATCCGCGGCCATGACAGACTATTTCGTTTACGAAAATCGGTTGGCGTCTTTTGATGGGCAACCTCTGGCAAACAAAGATGGGATACCCCCAGCAGATTCTCGAGGTAAGCTGGTAAAATGGCCACATAAGTCTTTACCAGCGGATGAGGTCAGTAAAATGGCACTGAAGAGAGAGGAGGAGGTTGACAACGCCCGAGTGGAAGAGGAGGCTAACACAATCGAACTTCTAGCTCGCAAAAGCCGGGTTTTACTTCGATCCCATGGTCGCTAGTCCCGACAACGTAACATGCTTTTTGTGCGAGCATTCCTTTGACGGTTGGACGCCTGGAGATCATGCAATCCAAGAACATTTGAAACATTCGCCATTTTGCGGCTGGGCCGTGACGGCAGCGGTCGAAGCCAATCTGGGAGACTATGGGAAGATGCACCCTCTGGAACCGATTCTTGTCGATGCGCGGAAGGCTACCTTTGGGGGGAAGTGGCCATACGAATCTAAGAGGGGATTCAAGTGCAAGTCAAAGCAAGTAAGCACTCCCTCGTACCTGCCCGACCCCGAGGAGCACAAGCTAACTGGTCGCAGCTTGCCGAAGCCGGTTGGAAGTTCGCACCAACAATCGAGGATGAAGACATGACGATCTGTCCATATTGCCTGCTAGGAGTTAGTGGTTGGGAACCTGGTGACAAAGCAATGTAAGAAGCATTCACATCATCTCGCAAGTATCCACGGCAATCAACTAACAACAACCTTGCACTTAGTGACGAACACCAGAGACGACAACCTGAATGTGCGTTCTTTCGCCTTCAGGAGGAGTTACCAGCACCGAAGAAGCCGGCGAGAAGAGCCAAAGTACCAAAGCCATCCAACGTCGCCCACCGCCTCTCTATCCAGCCTGTCGGAATCCCCACCGCAGAAACCTCCGATCAGATCTCTGCCTCAGATACCGCGGGTTGCCTTGAGGACATCATTATGGCGCCAACCACGCGGGCAGCAAAGACCAAAAAGACAACTGCTAGGAGTCGAAAAGCCAAAGCCCAGAAGAAAGGAGAGGAGCCCAAGGAAACCTTGGAGGACAAGCCAGCAGACGAACAATTGCCTGCTGAAGAGCCACCACAAGGACGGAAGCGGGGAAGCGAGTCGATTTCCGATTCCGTGGACTCCAATCCAGAGGCGCCTCCACAGAAGAAGCGGGCAACATGGACAGGAGGAACAGCGGTTACTGATGCTTCCACTTCAGCTATGGAAACAGAGGACACTGATATTCCCGATGCACCATCTCCCAAACAAACAGCTACCCGCAAGAGAGCGCCCACCAAAGAAACACAAGGCTTGCGGAGAAGCTCGCAAGTTTCCCTGCAGCAACCTAATTCAACAACAGCCCCGCAAACAGATTTATCGAATGATGAGGCCGTCTATCATCACATGGAGATACACGACGTCGATGTTGATCCAGGGCGCAAAGTGCAGAATGCAGAATCGCAAGAGGAAGCGGATGCTGAGGATCCAATCTCTTCATCCGACATCCCCCTCCCCAAGAAGGGTCGCAAACTAGCCAGCCAGAGGATGTCTAAGCAAGCGAAAAGAATGCAACAATCTCTTCCTTTATCCGATCCTGCCGACGAACTGACGGAGGGGTCTACTGCTGTGCCCGAAGCCACGTCTGTTGTGCCCCAACCAGCACATCCCGAGCTAGGATCTGGGGAGGACCCGGACATGACCTTGGTCTCGAAGAGTAGCGGGCGACCAAGTACGATCAAACGGGGAAGGGGACGCCCATCAAAAAAGTCAACATCTTCCCATGCGTCCAGCGAAATGGCGGAGCAGCAGCGAGCTTCATCTGGCATCCCGCTTCCAGAGACACAAGCCGAGATCGAGACTCAGGCCGAGCCTCCCACAGAGCGCCGCTTGTCAACTCCAATTGAGAATGAGGCGGGCGTCGAAGTGGAGGCAGAAGAACCGGTTCCGGAACCTACACCCATGGCCTCCCCTCCTAAGGCGGCCGTTACTCGTGCTGCGCCAACACCAGCCAGGATGAACAAGTCTCTTCCTCCGCCGCCACCTGAGTCCCCAGATCACCTGTCTCAACCGCCTACCACACCCCGGGCACTTACGGTCGCGCGTCAACCTGAAGAACAGCGACTCGTCTACCGCTCGCCATCAATGCAGTCCTCAAATGCAGAGAACCGAACCCCAGCAATCGATCGTCATGACCTAGCACCAATAATAACCACACCAGACGGGCCCCTTTCTCCTTCCAAACGCAAGATTCTGAGCGCCCTCCAAAGCACTACACCTTGGACCGCGGTGGATCTAGATAACATCCTCTCGCCCACCAAGGCTCAATACGAAAAGGAAGACGGCATTGACAGGCTCCTGCATAAGGGCAGCGAGCTTACGAGCCCGGAGAAGCGGATGACCGTGGAAGAGTGGATTTACCATAATGCCAGTTTGGCTGAGCAAAGACTGAAGAGGGAATGCGAGGAGATGGTCTCGGTGTTTGAGAAGCAGGGTGCCAGAGCTATGCAAGCTTTGGAGGGACTTGTCGTTGAGTAGGGAGCGAGTGGCGTTTATCAACATAGGAGGACGGACAATGTGGATTCGCATGTTGGATTTCTCTGGTTACGGGAAGGGAAATGTTGGTACGGGTGATATCAGTAGACATGGAATTTGCACGGGGCGTTGCATAGCAAGCTTGCTGTCTCAGTGATCTGGCTTTTTGGCTTGAGTAGCATGGAAGGGCGTTATTCAACGACCGGTCTGATGATTTATAGAGAAGATGTTTGATGGCGTATACAATACAAATGCGCAGTAACCTAAATGACGACAGGCCATCCTCGGCTTACCAGTGTATGTTCTTTAGATGATATTAGCTTCAGAAGATCTTGACCCAAGGGCGAGTGTGTTGAGAGTGGGTTTGGTTATCAATTAGCGGGCGGTCAGTGGTAAAGGAAGCGTTTACACCCAGGAATATATCTCGGTAGCAACTTGAAGAGACAGCGAGTAAGAAGAACCATAGGGACCAACAAAACGGCGATTAGTGAACATACAATCGGTCCTTCGTGTCATTGATTATCGACGGCTCCGTGTTTGGTTGTGACTTTTGTATCGACGCGCAAGGGTTAGGGTTCAACCATTCACTGTCTGCTTTTTTTGCGGCACTCTCCATGACTTCATTGGGGCAGGCAGCCTTGTGAATCTACTTTGGTACCTTGACCACAACCACCAATTGCGACCACGCGACGCGCTTCAACTTTTCGGTTCTTTGACTTCCACCAATTTAAATTTCGAAGGCGACGACAGTATATACGGCAACTTTTCCGGTCGTAATCAACACACGAGTACCTGTTTCGAAGGCCCCGTTGCGCCACCATATCGCAAAGCACCACCAGCAACAACCGACAACGAACTACAAGCTACCGGCATTGCAGCAATAGTAGTAGTCGTAGCAGCGACAGCTCAACAGCTCGACAACTTCCCCATCGTCATCGTCGCATCCGCATTCAGCAGTCGCCACAATGAGGTTGACGGCAGACCTGATCAACAGCTCCCTTTCCTACCTCAATCCTCTCAAGGAGCGAGAGATTGATCTCCGAGGTGCGTTCCATCGAGAAGAGCAGATACTGCACGGTTGATCTTCGCAAGCTTCCATCCAAAAGCGCATTACAAAGAACAGAGTTGATATATCGAAAACCTATGTTGGGTTGGGATAAATTGCAATAGGACACAGAATACCTGCTATTGAGAACTTGGGCGTTGCTGGGGTAAGTCTTCCTTTCTGCTTGCTTCTATGGCATCGCATTTTCTGTCCCCGTCGGCCGGCGGCCATGTCACCAACGATGCAGCTTGCTAACCCATTGCTTTGTGTGAAACAGCCCCACGATGCCATTGACTTCACCGATAACGATATCCAAGTGCTGGGCAACTTCCCGCTCTCCCCCCGCATACGCACCCTCCTGCTCGCCCGCAACAGGATCGCCCAGATCCAGTCGACCCTACCGAATGCCATCCCCAACCTGAAGAACCTCGTCCTGGCATCCAATAACATTGGCGAGCTGGCGGATTTGGAGGTGCTGGGCAGGTTTCCCAGGCTGACGCACTTGGTTTTGATGGATAACCCCGTTGCCAAGAAGGAGGTACGTCTGTCCCTTCCTCTATGCCACAGGATCGGGAGAGCGAGAAAGTGATGGCAGGGAAACAATTGGAATAATGGAAGGGCTAAATGGCTGACAATGGGTCTCTTGAAACACAGAACTACCGCTACTGGGTCCTTTGGCTGTGCCCCCAGGTTCGCTTCCTCGATTACATCAAGGTCAAGGACGCCGAGAGGCAGCAGGCGAAGGAGTTGTTTGGAACGACTGATGAGCCGACGGAGCTGGCCAACACGGTATGGAGCCCCCTTTTACCTGAATCCAAAGCCATCCATGTCAGACATACTAACAAATAACTGTCCCAAACAGATAAAGGGAATCAAGACCAAGACCTTTGACGTTGGCACCGGTGCTGCGAGCGGCGCGGCCGGCAGTGGTCCTGGTTCGAAGCTCTCGCGTCTCAAGCTCACGGAGAAGGAGAAGAAGAAGCTGCAGGATCTGATCAAGAAGGCCGACAGCTTGGAGGAGATCATCAGGCTGGAGAAGGCGCTCAACGAGGGACGCTTGCCGCCTGGTATCATTGCCGAGGATGACGATGCCATGGAGGAATAAGGAGTAGGAAGAAGGAAGGTAATGGGCCTCTCACGGACGTGGTAGATCAGATCACCTCATGTCGATGTCCATGATATAATAGAGAGAGAGAGAGAGAGAGTGGGGGGGGGGACGGCACTTTACAGAAAGAGGTTACCTTTGTCGGCGTTCGGTTTTAGATTGGGCTTGTACTGCAAAATACTGTATACCAAGATTCGCAAATTCGTTGTTTGAAACTGCAACAGAGGCGCTGGATCATAATATGGGTGTGAGGATCTTATCGTAGCAACCGAAACTTAGCTTGGGAAAAGGTACCCTGGGATGATAGTATAAATGGTTCATAGCTTTTTCTTAATTCAAGTGTCCAACATGTCTCTTTGTCTCAGTACATATGAACAGACGCTCTCTAGCCGGTCATATCCACATCTCCATCGTGACCCCGATACTGCTGCGACGCCGCCTGCCTCATCTCCATCTGCAACTGCGCGCTAGGGTCCTCGTCCGACGTGGTAGCCGGCGGCGACGCCGACAAGATGCCCCTATTCATACCACTCATCACACCAGGAGTGGAGCTGAATGGTCGTCCCGAAGCCGACGACATGCCCACACCCGCCGTAACTCCCAATATTGGTAATACCCGTATTGACGCCGCCAGCACCAAGTCCATTCACCGGCGCCGCCAGCCCTCCAATGCTTCCACCACCACCATTGCTACCGCTTCCCGTAGCAAGACCCCCATTCATAGCCATCAAGATTGACGTCTGCTGCAACCCGCCAGACCCGCCGCCAGACGAAGACCCCTTCTGCTTCTTGGCATTCGGCAACATGGCCATCCGATCCCTCTCATCACCCTGCCCCAGATCCTGACCCAGCTGTCCAGACTCCAAGGACATCATGACACCACCGGTAATACCCTCGGGAGCCGCTAGTACACCGCCAACACCACCAGTACCAGAAACAGCAGCAGCAGTCCCCGCAGGAGGCACAACGATGTCGCTCCCGCCCTTGACGCGGGCCCTAGCCGCGGCTGCTTGCGCTTTGATGGCCTTGTAGGAAGACGTCTTGGGCACCACGTCCTCGAGGAACTCGAGGTTGTCGTGGTGGGAGACGGCGGCGGCGACGTCCTTGTATTGCACGTTGCGGCGCGGCTTGCGCTCGGCGCGCGCCATGTTTTGGGCTTCCGAGGCTAGGTGCTGGATGAACATTTCCGTGGCCAGGGTGATGACGAAGGCGGCGTTGTTGGAGCAGACGGTGATGTCCGGGTCGACGGCGATGATATTTTTTGACTCTTGTGACTGTGTTTCAAGCGTGTGTGAGTATTTTTTTTCTTGATATTTTGTGGTATCGTCGCTTCGAGGAAGAAAGAGTAAATGTGTGTGAATGTGTTCATTTATCTCAGGGGAGGATTCCTTACGGGGCAATTGGGTTTGGCCTGTCACCTCCTTTCGGGGAGGAATTGCTGTGGTGTTGTAAGGCATCTTGTTGGCGGTGAGAGTGTTTGTTCCCCGTAAATTTTGTAAGGTGATTCAGATATGGAAATGAGTTTTGTACTGCTAAGGTGAGGGAGGGGGAAATGACTGAAGTCGAGGTTCTTTGCGTCTGTACCCGAGCTTTACAGGTGCCGTCGCTGAGTGTGGGAAAGTTTTCTGAGCTTGGTTGGCCGGTTATGTCACAAACAACAAAGAGTCCTTTGGAAATTCCGATAGAGATCTACACAGCTCTTCTAGTCTTGAGGATGGCTGATGGACTTACACCAGATCGAAGGCAAGAAGTTAAAGTGAAACGCGTACACAAAGACGCGATTAAAGTGTGCTGCTCATTCTCGGTCAACCCCTCGGGGTGGCTGCAATGGGGTACAGTAGGCACCTTGGCGACCCAGGGATTGCCTGCCAAGAAGCCCAAGACCCCGGAACCTAGGCGCTGGAGTTGGGATGTCAGTCAGCCTTGCAATGATAGCTTTAGTGGGCGATTATAGGGGACTTCGGCGGTAGAGGCGCAATCGATAATGGCAATAGCCTACTCCAAGACAATATTATAGTCACTCAATTGTTGAGGAATGGCAAACGACTCTAAAACCCACCAATACATACACTTACCTTCAGTCCGAATGCCAGCGACATGATACCCAGAGGCGGTCCAGGCGCCATGAACCCGCAATCCCGATCTACGTCGTTCTCGACGTCAGTGCCTCAAGATCCCCAACCAACGCGCCGCTCGAAGACCGTCCGTCAGCTCCCGATTCTCCTACGCCGTGTCCATTGCCGAACAAGGAGAAGCCCAAACGGCCCAAGGAGTTGCCGCGCAACATCAGATCGAGGAGGAGATTGCGAAGATCAAGCGATATGAGGTCAGCTACTGTAGCTTTGCTTGCTCCAGAGACTCTGGGTCCAGGTGCGATGCGACCGGATCAGTTGTGTGCGGCTACTAACTGTCGACCGAGTAGGACTTTACAACCATTGGTATGATAAACCTTTGAGATATCCGACCCGCAAGCGCTGACGATAGGCGACCAGATTGGGTGCAAGATGCGGCACGAGAACAACTGCGCAGAAAGGCGCGCCGCAAGAGAAATGCTGGGCTTTGGGACGCCGGCCGGTTCGACTGGCGACATAGGATACGAGAATCTTACGATGCTGCTCAAGGCTGGATTGTCGTCACCATAATTGGCGCGGCAATCGGGCTCAATGCTGCGTTTTTGAACTCATTACGGAATGGCTTTCCGACATCAAGCTTGGTCATTGCAAAACTGCCTTCTATCTCAACGAGAACTTTTGTTGCTGGGGAGAGGACAATGGTTGCGACGACTGGCACAAGTGGACGGGGCTGTCACCCATCAACTACTTCATCTACATACTCTTTGCGGTTCGTATAACCTGGCCCACTTGGACCTTGAAGAAGCCCCTACTAATGTACTACAGATCTTGTTCGCCTGCACATCAGCCACCCTGGTCAAATCATATGCCCCCTACGCCGCTGGCTCTGGCATCTCCGAGATCAAATGCATTATCGCCGGCTTCGTCATGAAGGGGTTTCTTGGTTTTTGGACTCTGATTATCAAGTCCTTGGCCCTACCACTTGCTATCGGCTCCGGTCTCTCCGTCGGAAAGGAAGGACCTAGTGTACACTACGCTGTGTGCACGGGAAATGTCATATCGAGGCTCTTCGCCAAGTACAGACGAAATGCGTCCAAGACGCGTGAGATTCTCAGCGCTTGTGCTGCCGCGGGTGTTGCCGTCGCCTTCGGCAGCCCTATCGGAGGAGTGCTGTTCTCGCTCGAAGAGATGTCCAGCTATTTCCCCCTCAAGACCATGTGGCGAAGCTACTTCTGCGCCCTGGTCGCAACGGCCGTCCTGTCTGCCATGAATCCCTTCCGGACTGGGCAGTTGGTCATGTTCCAGGTTCATTACGACAGATCGTGGCATTTCTTCGAGATCTTATTCTTCATCCTGCTCGGCATCTGTGGCGGTCTATACGGTGCTTTTGTCATGAAGTGGAACCTCAGGGTGCAAGCATTCCGCAAGAAGTACCTAACCAACTACGCTATTCTCGAGGCTACTCTGCTGGCGGCTGCAACGGCTATCGTGTGCTATCCTAACAGTTTTCTGAGAATCGAAATGACCGAAAGCATGGAGATTCTCTTCCTCGAGTGTGAAGGCGCTGCGGATTATCAAGGCCTCTGCGACAAGGACCACCGTTTTCGTAACGTCGTTTCTTTGCTGCTAGCAACCGTCATCCGCATCTTCTTCGTCATCATCTCATACGGCTGCAAGGTTCCAGCCGGTATCTTTGTGCCATCTATGGCCATCGGCGCCTCCTTTGGCCGCTCAGTGGGTATCATTGTTCAGGCAATCCACGAGGCTAATCCGACGAGCCCATTCTTCGCTGCCTGCTTGCCCGACGTGCCATGCATCACACCCGGAACATATGCCTTCCTCGGCGCGGCCGCCGCTCTGAGCGGTATCATGCACATCACCGTCTCAGTGGTGGTTATCATGTTCGAGCTTACCGGTGCCCTCACCTACATCCTACCAACCATGATTGTCGTCGGTGTAACCAAAGCCGTCAGTGAGCTATTCGGAAAAGGTGGCATAGCAGACCGCATGATTTGGTTCAGCGGCTTCCCCTTCCTCGACAACAAGGAAGAGCACAACTTCGGCGTGCCTGTCTCTCACGCCATGATCAAGGATGTCACGTCCATTCCCACCAACGGTATGACCCTCCAGCAAATCGAGGCTCTTCTCGTCGAGGACAACTACCAAGGTTTTCCCATCGTGGAAGACGAGCGCTCCAAGATCTTGGTCGGCTATATCGGTCGGACAGAGCTACGCTACGCTGTCGATCGCGCAAAGCGCGAGAGGACGCTCAGTCCTGAAGCCCAATGTACATTTGCTCCTCCACCATCCAGCGCAAATGCTACTACCGCCGGCGTCGACATCATTACACCACTCAGCATCACACCGGGTCTCGCCCGCATGGACAGCTTCAACACCATCAACTTTGCCGAGTCATCATCCACCCCGCCGCCACTTCATCCTCATCCTCCTCCAACTTCGTCAACTTCTCCCGCTACGTAGACACCACCCCCGTCTCCGCCCACCCGCGCCTGCCCCTCGAGACCGTCATGGAACTCTTCCGCAAGATCGGCCCGCGCGTGATCCTGATTGAGTACCACGGCAAGCTGATGGGGCTTGTCACTGTGAAGGATTGTCTCAAGTATCAGTTCAAGGTTGAAGCTATGGAGGAGGTTGCTAATGGACATGGAGCCGCCGAGCAACAGCAGCAGCAGCAAGGGGTTGTTGTTAGTAACGATGAGAGACTGTGGGAGTTGATGCAGAGAGTTGCAGGGTGGTTGTCTGATAAAGTGTCGATTGCGAGTGGTGGGAGGATTAGGTTGAGGGATTCGTTAGATTTGCCTAGAGAGCCTCTTGTAGGTGGTGGTGGTGGTGGTGGTAATAGTACGGCGAGGAGAAGGGATGATCATCAGATATTAGATGGGACGGAAGATGAGGATGAAGATGGGGTTGAACTGGAGAGTCGGGATCGGGATCGGGAGAGGTACCCGCGATGATCTACGTTTAGGTACTGTAGTAGCCGTAAAAAACAGGATGAAATTTAGTGCGATGAGACGGCGGGCCGGCAGGGCGGGTGGCATCGGTATATGAGTTGAGTGTAATGTAATGTCTGGCATTTTCTCTCTCCTGGTTGGGTATAGAGGTGGTAATGCAAGCGAATCGAATGACTGAGCGAGTATATAACAATGACACAGATCAGAGACAGATAATTCGACTGATGGTAGATCTCTCTGTCGAACTCGAACTGGGTTTCCTCTGCTTTGTTCAAAACAGCAGGGCGTCACCGGTGTATGGTACTGACTTCCATACCACTGCTTCCAGACATAAAATATGGAAGATAACGTCTAAACTCACAGGTCCCGATAGAGGTTTTGGTCTTCCATTTCATTGCACTCATTTTCCCAAGCAGGGTCCCTCAACACCCGCACCCGATAATCTCATGGAATCTCAGGGTCCTTTTTCCACCTTCCCACTTTTTCCACTTCCCCCTAGTTACCTAGCGGTATCAGCCCTTGTGACCCAAACAATGGTCTTTGACCACCTCTAAAAGACTAAATCAAACGTGATGCTGGTCGTACTGTGTAAGGGAAACACCGGTGAACGGTGAGACCGTCCCGTCACGTCACCCTTTCTGGGAATGGAGTTTAGTGTAGAAGTACGCATGACATTGCGAAACCAAAAAAACAAAGCGGTTCGACTGGTGGTTTTGGTTGGTTGGTTGGTTGGTTGGTTGGTCGAACATTTACAGGGCTGGCCGTGTACTGTGTAGGTTACAGTAACGACACCTATGGTAGTAAAGGAACCAAACTAACCCAACAAACAGACAGGTCGTGGTGTTCTCGCCCTGTCTTGCCCTGTCTCGCCCTGTCTTTGGTCCATGCAATGAGCTTAATTTATCAGGTAATGATAAGGTAAACAAAGGGTGTTTGTTGAAGACACCTGACGTATATAGCTAGCTAGAGGTATGTTGAGAGACACGAGGAAGATCCAGATACCTAACTAGACCAGCTCTGACCAGCGTGCAATACACGTAGTGTGTAGTACACTAGCATAGCCTGTAGTTCAGGAGGCGAGAAGCAAGCGGTGATCCCGCCCTAGGCCTTCCGGTATCTCACCGGGACCGACAGCCGTGGAGCCGTGTAAATAGTTTCCCGACCGACAACCGCCTCTTGACTTTGAGGATTTGCTTTTCGTACGTACACTACTATGTACATGGAATATGGCGGTTAACATAGGCATACGTATGCTTGTAGATGGAAAAGGAAAACTCTCTCGTAATCACCATAACCGATTTTGTAGGTATCCAGTCCTCCAAGGTTGCTGTAGCCAACGACAATCCCTGTCTTCAATTCTTTGTTTCTTACAGTGGCTCAGTGGCTCGGAGAGTACAGATCGAGCTAGCCATTGTTACAGTGGTTACAGTGGCCATGTGTGTGGTACGGTACAGTGGTGTAACAAAGACAGGCCTGCTATCAAACACAAAGTTGTAAAAGAGAGGAGGATTAAAGTTGTTCAAGATGCCGCGCAAGCATTGCTTGGTTCGTCCTTTGCTGTACAACTAAACTGACCGATAACCGTGATGATTGTCCCCATTATCGTTTCTCAATCGGTTACGGGGAAAGCGCAGTTCGAAAAGATTCCAGGTCGGAAGAGGCGGGGACGCACTTGCAGGGATACTCGATGTTATGGGTTCCCTTATCACGATAATCGCTACGAAAGTCGTCGTTTTTCTGCGCTTGCGCTTGCGGCCTTCTGGAAACCATGAGGCCCCGCCGTACCCAAATCACCACCTTCACACAATGGAATCACCGACGATGCCAAACATGCCATGTTTTCATATTTTCAACCATCCATTTTTCTGTAACTTTCCGTTGCCTCATTTTTGCTCCTTCGACTTCCACAAAAAGAGACCGCAAAGAACCCGCTTGCTTCCCCAGGTCACATGGACCCGTACCCAGTTGCTCCTTCCCAAGCTGACCCACCGAGATCGGTCCTTGCAAACAGGCATCGTAGCGCGGCTTCCCCCGACTTCCCCGACCGCCGTCTCCGCCCAGAACCGCTGAGAAGCGCCCGCAATCCCCATTTCCATCCACACGCCTTGGAAGATCGACACCGCCAGTTTTCGTCCCCCTTCTGATAGGTCACCTTCAACCTGTTCATATTTCATCCTATCATCATCTCCTCTTGGCTCGTTCACCCTGATACCCCCTTTTGCCCATCAACATTGACAGCATCGTTACCGATCATCAGACTCCGAGCGACGACTTGGTTGAAGAAGCTTTAAAGAAGAAGCGTTGAGAGCATCCGTCCATAAAACCCCAAGTTCAAAAGCGTCGATATAGAAGCCATTGGATCCCTCCTCTTTTGTCACACAACATAACCGATACCCCTCAAGCCAAGTCCAGACACCTAAGCATCTCTGGCTTGCCCGACAATCTCCTCTTTTGTTTCAATCCTAGAGCTTCCTGTCCATAACAATCCCTTCAACCTTTCGATCTTTCGCCTCCGTAATCCTAAGAACGACCCAGCAGACACCATGGCTGTCGGAATCACCCAAACCATGGCTGCAGCCACCACCAACGTCCCGCTTTGTCTTAAGGCCACTTTCAAGGACACACCAAGCCTAAACAACTTTGATAAGCTCGTCCAAGCCTTGAAGGATGCCCTTGGGCCGTCGTCGGGTCTGACTTCGGATGACGTCGATGTCGAACACCTCACTCGCTTGATGCAAGAGTATCAGAGTGATGAGGTGGAGTGGTCGAGGTTTGCCTTTGGCGATGCGAGCCGGGGGTACACTCGCAACTTGGTTGATGAAGGGAACGGGAAGAGCAATCTTGTGAGTAACAGTCCGCTCGTAGCCACATTCCCATCTCTTCATCATGACCCGCCTCTGTATGATACGCAGGGCAATGTTCACTCGAACATCGCACTAACCGCAAACAATGAACAGCTCGTCCTAGTCTGGTCCCCAGGCAAAGGCTCCCCCATCCACGACCACGGCAACGCGCACTGCCTGATGAAGATCCTCCAGGGCAACCTCACGGAAACCCGCTATGCCTTTCCCGATTCTTCCACCTCTTCCTCCTCCTCCTCAGAATCGAAACCAATGCAAGTAATCTCGGAAAAGGTCTACCGCGAAAACCAGGTGGCCTACATGGCCGACGAGCTCGGCGTGCACCGCGTGTGGAACCAAGACCCGGACAACTTTGCCGTCTCGTTGCACCTGTACACGCCGCCCAACGTGGCCAAGGGGGGGTGTAACATCTTTAACCCGGAGACGGGCAAGAAGAGCCATGTGCCCAAGTGCGGGTACTACTCGGCTTATGGGAAAAGGTTGAATGAGTAAAGAGAGAGAGATGAGAGCTGAGACAAGGAGATGATGATACTCATCCGAGGTCGTGGTCGATGATGAGCTTGGATATATGCATGATCGATAGGTAGAAGGGGTCATATGTCGGCGGTGATGAGCTTCGTTTTTGTCGTCGAGTTGGAGTCAAGTTGGATCTGTTTCCATGTTTTGGATTTGGTTGGGCAGGGTCGGGTCGGGACATATATCTTGATGATGCTGTATCATTATAGCGAGGGGGGCGTTCGGTTCAGGGTTGATCTCTCAGGTTATGTTGTTTTCGTTCATGTCGTTAGGTAGCAATCGTACTCATGTTGTTCTTGCTTGTTGCTCCCATTGTCGCCCTGTATCTTGTGTCATTGTGGATTTCGCTTTGGGTCGTCCATGATATGTGCGAACTGCGAGGACCTCGAGAGAGCGCTGTAATTGAGAGAATGCCCAGTGTTGCAAGCCGTAGCACCGCAAAAATAGGTTTCGTGACCGCGAAGATGGAGAAAGAAACAGAGAACCAAAACGACCTTACAGCACTGAAACAGTGGAAAGGAATGTGGAAAAGAGAAACGGGGAGGGGGAAGGGGACATTGATGTCGTCGTCGGCGTCTTGAAGAGCGGATGCTTTCTCACTTCTCAACCCTATTTGGGACTAGCGCGGATTGCACCATATTCATCCAATCGTCTTTTGTGGGTCGCGGATCAATCCCGACTCGGAGGTTCTTCTGAAAGACAGGGTTGGTCGCAGTCACGTTACGTGTCATGTGACACCCCCAGCAGCCACCATGTGAAGCAAGTCCTCTTGAGTCCTTTTCACTCGCATTCTCACCTCATATTTGGGTTGCCTCTCTAGTACCAATAACCAAACGGTTTCAAATTCTTGGAGTCCCTGATGTCCAAGTTCCAGGAACTTTACATAGCACAGTGCCGTGTCAGCTTTCGACGTGCTTTCTGTGTCTGGACATGGACAACACTCAAGAATTCTAAAAGGGTGATACTCGTCGGTTAGGTGGATGCGCTTCGCCAGACGAGTAAATTATTGTCGCCTTGTTTTATACTGGTATAAAGATCAGGAAAGATGGACCGAGTTTTCTGTCGTGAGAAACCAAGACACATAAACCCCTTCCGGCAACACGCCCTAGGAAATTAAGACAAGGCATGTCCAAAAACAGTACTAGTCATTCCTCGTTATATCAAAACTGCAACTTAATACTCGCTGTTACGCTGTGATAACCCTCCTTCATGCTATATACCCCTTGACTTCTCTGATCACCATGAGACAACCAAGCAAACACAATAACAACGCCCAAAATAGAACCGCGGACGAAACTCTACCACCACAACCAATCATCACCTGATGATAAGCACCATGCCCCCTCTATCACAAGAAACCGTCATCGGATAAGGCGACTCCACCAGCGCCACATCCAGTATAGAATCCAAATGACTCCTCAACAACCGGAAATGTTCTTGTGAGATGATCTTGGTTCTAGACGGCCGCATTTTTTGTTGTGAGCTAGACGGGTTGGCCGATGACGATGACTTACCATTAACCCCCTGCCCTGTAGTGCTGCCACCAGCAGCACCAGACCGACCCGAAGAAGACTTCCCATGCAGCCGCTCGGTATTGAGAATCATGGACGGAGTGGGATGACTAGCCGTATAACTCGGCGCCGTCTCACCAAGCTGCAAGCCCGAGTAGATCCTGCTCTGACTGACATGCGTCAAATCCCAGAATCTTAGCTTCTTGTCGCTCCCGCCCGTGACCATGAAGGCATAGCGGACGTCGCGTTCCTGCAGCGGCGGCGGCGGCTGTTCTTCGACCGTAGCTGCGTCCGTGATGCCCCAGCCGAAGACAAGGGCCCTCACCCCCCGGTCGGCGTTGCCCATGGCGTTGGGCTCGATGTTGGTCGCGAAACGCGAGAGCATCTGCCCTTGCCCCTCGGAAGGCTTGTCCTCATCGACTTGCCAGGCATCGTACCCCTTAGGACCTTCCTTGTTGCCGCCAACGCGGTAGACTTCGCGGCATGTGGCTTTTTCGATGTCCCAGACTGTGACTTCGCCTTGACCCGTTCCGCCAGATGCGCACACCCAGCGGCCTCGGCCGCGGGAGGGGTGGATGGAGAGCCGGTAGATGGAACCCTTGCCGGGCACGCCCCAGCTCTTGAGCTTCACTTTGAAGCGGAGATCCCACAGGTCCAGAACGCCGTGGGAGGTGCCCAGACACAACCAGTTTTTCTTGTTGTCGATGCAGAAACAGGTTGGTGTGCCGTGATGGACCGGATTCTCTAGCTTGAAGAGCAATGTCATGGTTCGGAGCTCCATGCCCCAGACGACTGACTTGTTGGTGGCTACAATAAGAATGGACTCGTTGTCCAGCTTGTAGTGTTCGCACCACACGCCAAACTCGCCGCCGACAAAGCGATGTTCTCTGACTGTGCGAAGACGAGTATACCGATAGCTCTCGCCCTGTAAGTAGGTCTCAACCTTGACTATGTGTACGCTGCCATCTGTGGCGCAACTGACAAAGCTATGCGTGTTCTCAATGAAGCATAGCGCACGAACTTTGGCTCCAGGGGCGTGTCGATGGGTGAGGCGAGGTTTGTGAATATTAATCTTCTCAAACCTAGCTGAGTCCCAAACCTTGACGGTCCCGTCGTCGCCACCAGTCAGGAAGAACTGGTGGTCTGGAGCAACCACGATCCGATTGATGGCCCCGACATGCTCAACGAATGACGCAATAGTCTCTCCTCTCGGTTTCCATCCGTTTTCCCTTTGCTTCCCTGGTTGGGAACTGATAATCTTGCCAGTCTTGCGGCGCCCGATGGGTGTAACCTCTGGGCCAAATTCGGCAAGATCGTGCGGGTAGTTCTCAACGTACATGGTATCCAACATCTTGAGAATATGCGGATCGTTCCCATGGTAGTCATGATTCACGCGCAGCTTAATACCGGGCGTTGGCGGCATGCTTTCAGAATCTGGGGACCTAATATGAATTCCTTGGTAATGCTGAGTGAGGGGCGCTTCAACCTCCCCAAAGGCATTGGTTTCCGTAGTACCGGTCTCAGGGCCGGATTTGGCGCTGTCCTTACGATTCATCAGGCTCATCGCGCTAGACTGGTGCTTCAAGGCCCTCCTTGTTTCGTACGGGGAATAGTGAGCAGACCCCACGTCGTCATGAGGGGAGAGCAGAGATGCACGACTCTGATGAGATACCGACTGTCTCAAAGCGTTTCTTGAGTTTTCGCCATTACTGCCTGTAGCAGGCCTGCCGTCCACGGAGATGGATGGAACCGACTTAGACTTCTGCTTATCAAGCGCGGCCCGACGCCGTTGACTGAGTGGATCACCAATAGTGAGCGACGCATCGAGGAGAGCCTCCTGGATAGTCTTAGGAGCTGTGTCATCGTCGTCTAATTGCGGAGCAGGATAGCGAATGGGTTCCTCTTCGAACATAACGGTCTGAGGTGTAATACCCAGGTTTCGCAGAGGGATGATGTCCTCGAGTTCAGACCTCTTCTCCATCTGCAGCTCTGTCGAGTCCCTCCCTTTCATCTGGACAAGACGCCATATGAATTCTCGCAGCATAATGAGTTTGATTTCGTCCGCCTGCGAAAGGCCGGCAGTCCTCAAGCGGCTCAACCACTGCTCATCCTCATCTGTTTTCGGGAGTTTCGTTACAGTGCGAGCATCCCACGACCGTTTAGGAGGCTTCCAGAAGCCGCTCTTCTCTGCTTTTGCAGCCCATTGCATAGCCAGTTCAAAGACGTTGCGCGAGAGCGGCTTTTGTAGCGAATCAAGGAGTTGTAGTTCCGACCAACCAGGAATAATATCTGGCTTCAAGAAGGGCTTCAGCTGTGGGTAAATCGAAACCTTGAGATAGGCAGAGCTCAGGAACTCGTTTCCGGCTGCGATGAAATGAGCAGCCGCTTCGCGAATCCACACGTTGGGGTGCATCGTAAAGCGCCCAACAAGGGCAACGAGGTCAACAAATGCCTCCTTGGTCAAGAGCCCTAGCCGGGTCAGCTCTGCCAGCGATTGAAGCGCCCCTTGTACCACAAACTCTTCTGGATCATCCACCGCCTGGATGATGAGGGGTAAAATGAAGCTTTCGAGGGTACTGCTTCCCATAAATGCTGATATGCCCACAACAGTGTCGAAAAACGCATACCGCAACATCCAGTCACGGTCGTTAAGGTAGGTGTTGAGATGTGCGATGATTACGTCGTTCGCCTTTGCAACGCCGAAGAAGATGCACAAATCTGGCACTGAGCTAAGAAAGGCTCTTCGAACAAAGGGATTGAGGTCTTCGATGAGCATCTTCGTATGTGTCTCAAAGAGGTCTACCAGGTCCTGGCGGGAACTGTCAAACAGCCCATCAAGAGCCGTGTTCGTCTCGTTCCCTGGTTCAAGTTCTGGATCTGAAATAGTTACTGATCCATCAGCCCGGAGCGTTGCAGCCATTGCGAGGAATCGGTACGCAGTTGTTGCCAGTTTTCCTAGACATGCTGCATACGTGGCCCTTACCACAGGGCTCGGAGCCCCCTGAGACCCCAAGAGGGCAACCTGCATCCTGGGCAAAATGTACTCTAGGAATATGTGCGAGTTAACGGGGGTGATGACTCTGACCAGATCGAGAAGCTGCGTTATGCTACGCAGCGCAGATATCACCACCCTGTCGCACTTGTCGGTCAAGAGGGTCATCAGGTACGGCAAGACTCGATCTAGCTTTGCTTCATCGGTTAGCCGTTCAGCGAACGCTAGCATGATATCACACGCCTTGATCTTTGCGGTCGCATGTGCGGTGTTACGCAAGGAAGACGCGACTAGGGTAAGGAAGATGAGTGTTCCATCATCAGTGGTAGGTTGCTTGTTCGCCGAAACATAATGTTCAGTATTGGGAATGTTGAGTCGGACTGGGAAGAGTCCTAAACCCAGCCTCGGCGACAGCATGTGATTCCCGTATCGGTCATCCCCGTTCTCATAGCCAAGGAAGTAGGAAATCTTGTCAAAGTCGTTCCAGACCCTCTCAATCCTCTGGTCTGCTTCGCCAATTCTCGAGTTTCCGGTTGAAAGGTCGGTAATCGACTGCATATACTGATGTAGAAAGTTGTAAAAGTACCCTGGAAACACCTTGTCCTTCCAAAACTCGAGATACTGCTCGGCTGAGTAGCGCTTTTGCGGATCGACCTGAATCATGTGGGCGATCATCTCGCGCAAGTCCTTATCCGGGATGCGACTTAGATGCGAAATGGATGGGTCATATTCACCCCTTCGGTATTTGTACAGCTGGCTCAGGTTGAATATGGGTGTTTCGAGGAACAGTTCGGCAATGACACATCCAGCGCTGAAGACGTCCATGGCCCACGTAATCTTCGCGTTTGGATCCGGTTCTTGACCGGGAGGAAAAAACCTCTCCGGGGCCAAATAACATGTCCTTCGGCCAGATGTATCAAAGAAGTAGGAGAAGTCGGCGGGATTGTCTTCCGGCAGCATGACGGGCTTGAAGGATGACGAAAAGTCCGAGATGTAGAGCCAGTTCCAGGACGTCACTAGCGTATTTTCCGTCTTGATGTCTCCGTGATATATCTCTTTGGCATGGCAGTCGCGCAACGCGCACAAGAGCTGGAATGCCAGCCAACGCTTCTCCATGTCCTCGAGGAATGGTCTGGTACTGAGTCGGTCGTATAGAGAGTTGTAAAAGAACTGTCGAACCAGGTAGCCGTTGGTTTCGGTCTCGATCGCTCGCTGATATGGAAGCGCGTTGGGAACGTTGGCAAGCGCATTTCTTTCTCCTGTAGTTTTCCCGCGTCAGAATTGGCCAAGATCCCATAACAGAGCTTCGGAAACCGTCACTTACGGATGATCTTCTTTTTGTACCGTACCAACGACATAGCATACGGCTTGACGAGCACTTTGACGAGCACGACTCCATCGTTGTGTCTGGCACGTATGCTCTTCATGAAGCGGGCTTGGCCGATGACCTTCTCGTAGGTCAAGTCTGCCAACTCAGGGACATCAATACCGGCTGCCCCCGCCGGAGGGGCAGTCAGTGAGAAACCCTGACCCATGGTTTCGATGTGGTGTACAGTAGAGCCAGGAAGCTCAAGCTAGCCAGCTACCTAGACGGCGAGATCGTCAAGCTGTTGCGCATCTTGGGGACAACCATCCGAGAGTAGACAGGTTCGGCGGCGTGCGCAAAAGAGAGCAGTTCGAACGTGGGAGGCTCGTCAATTATGTGTGTACGGATATGGGCTTGTGTTCGTTCTTTGGAACTTCCCTCGGTACGACAGGATGACGAACGCGCAAGGTCGTTATCGGTATGACTACAGGACGTCAAAGGGAAGGAGGTTATGCCAGCCGGAACGTTATCGGCACTTGAAGCTGGCTGTGTAGCGCTAGGTAGTGTTGTCAGCTGCCTTTTAAGCAGTGTTCTCTGTTTCTTTGGTTGAGATGGGATCGTGTGAACGTCAAACAGTAAATTGTACCATATGTAGTAACTTATGTTTGGTAAATCGGTACTGTTCAGGTGGGCAAGTAGTACCGCCATTGGATGTCACCAGTGCTGGTTACGTATGAGGGTACCGATAAGATAAGCGCGTCAGCCGCGGAGCTTGCTTCAGGGTTGGGCGCTCTTTGTCCGTTCTCCAGCGCCTTCTCCACTCTGCTTAATCGAACATGCACCCGACCCAGGTGGCCCACTTCAGCCCTATCTCTCAAGAACCTCTACTGGTACGTCCTATATGCTGACATCGAAATGCCGTGCTCCAACTGTCACCGTAACGGTCAATCCTGTATTATCTATCATTCGAAATCAAACTAGTGTCGCGAGTGTATCAGCCGCTAGGCTTATTGCGATGCCGTGGACATTACTACGCGGCGTAGGTGTGATTTACTGTTTTGGGGTCTGGCTGTGCTGACTTGGTGAACTTCGGTCCCCAATTCCATGAATAAGCCTGGACGTCTGGAGGATGAAGAATATACCGATGCAAGAGATCATTGAGGTTCAGTCTCGTCTTTTACGTATTTGTGAGCAGAAGCGTCTTCTGGAGAAGAGACAGAAGGAGCTCCACGATCGTAGTATGGTGGAGCATGAGAAGGAGACGCTGGAACTAGAAGTTCAGAGGGTCGCCAACAACCTCCCTAATGACGAAGAGCATTGAAACGTTGAGTACGATGATATGATAATGGGATTGGAAGGTCATTCGTTTCCTACTGATGTAAAAGCTTAACGAGTTTAACGGGCTACATACCGACATTCGAACTCAATTCAGCAAACGCGTAGTTGAACGAAAATAGGATGCTCTGTGACTATTTCGATGCTTCGTCTAAAAGGTCATAACGTCTGCTAGTGATATCTCGTCCAGCCGGACAAATACTCCTCTTTGAGATTCCCCAACCATTCAGTATGATGACCTCCACTCTAGACAAATACACATCCTCCTCCACAAACTGGGGTATATAGAAATTAAAGGAGAAAAAAAGAAAACAGAGAGTTGATGCAATACGTAGAGGTGTAGTCGTTGTTCGGCAGACTCTCACTTTCGGCGTTCGTTCATCCAACCAACCAGATAGCCGGAGGCAAGCGGATGACATCTCGAATGTAATGTGTCATTATGAATCGAGTAGTGGTAACATGTGAACAAGGGTCGAACGTGAGCGGAGAAAGTAAGAGCCTGTGGGTATCCGGAGTAGAACTGCAATAAAGCATACCGTGATACCAAGTCCGTACCCAATTGCACATAGTAGAATACTGGTCGTCGTCTGGACAGTTATTCAAGAGGTCCGTGGCCTCGTAAACTCAAGTTCCTCTCATGAGTCGGTTCGTTACTATAATTGGTGCTGAGCACTCTCTCCGGTTTCGGTTGAACCATCTCCCTCGATTGTTCGTCGCCAATGCTCGGGAAGGCAGACGCATACCAGCGGGAATGCCTTGATTTCACCACTCACAGGAGGCGACACATCCCGCATCTTTCCAGACGTGTTGGAGACTCCACTGTCTCTCTGGGCTTGGCGGCGACTCTCCCATTCCTCAGCAGTCTCATCTACCATGACGCCAGTTGCCCATCCATCGTCCCAAATACCAACAACCTTGAGCATGTCACCACGTTCAAGGGCGAACTCATCAGCAGCCCGTGGCTGGTATGCCCAGAGTGTCGCAACCTTGTCGCCTGGATGGATCTCGTCCTGAGAATAGTAATCTTTGAAGAAGGGCAGCTGTTCGCTTTGTTGGCTGGCCACACCTCCCTGGGGTGATGACATTTGCGAGACACCGTCTTCTCCCGCAAGAACTGAGCCACTCGACAGTGAGCCACTTCTCTTCATCGTCGGCGGCGGTCGCAGAATGCCAATACCTCGGTCAGATATCGGGCTGTCGCGGTATCCGTCGGAAGATGAGTAATCGTCGCCTCTCCTTTTGCTAGTTCTACCAACAGCGTAGGCGGCTGCCATCTTCTCGCCAGATCCAGAGCTGAAGCCTCGATGAGAGCGCGAGCGCGGGGAAGGGGCATCGCCCTCGAGGGCCGACATCCGTGCTATCCTTCCACCTGGTGGCCCTGCAAATCCATGGTTCAGCCCGTCATTCTGCGTCATTTGTGCTGTTGATGGTCCTTTCCTAGCAGGCGTCGGCTGGTTCAGAATGCTGCCGTCCTGGCTGCCATGTTTCCTCCTCCTCCTCAAGAAGATGCAGGCCAAGATCAGCAGTGCCAACAGAGCCAGGCCCACCACCGCACCCACAACAATTCCAGCAATCGCGCCGCCGGAGAGCCCCTTTTTGCTGCCATGATCTGTTACTGGTTCGCTGGTCGAAGTAGCGCTTGGAACGGGGTCCAAAGTTATTGACGGGGAAGTCGAAGGGAGAATGACATTGGCACATCTGGCCTCGGCATCGGAGTTGTAGCAACAGGTATCCGTCGCGTTCGGTCCACCAGATTTGCAATAACCACACATGCCCAAGAGGCTCTCTCCGAATCCGCAATTGTCGGGCTCATTCGCAATCCCCGAGATACACTCGCCACCAGATAAGGAGTCTGCCGGCAGGGCACACGTAGTAAAGTCGGCTCGAACCTGATCTAAGTAGCTGTCGTTTGGATTTTCGCAACGATCGCTGTCAACGACGATGTTAGCTTCGCTGATCGCGTATTGCGCCTGTGGGAGAAGTCAGCAAAGATCGCCTAATGAGTGTCTCTCGGTTACTGACACAGGTATCAGCGCAAATTGGTCGGGAATTTGCTGCTGAAAGGTTGCATTTGGTGACGGAATTCTGAATGACGCCGTTACATAGTACGGTAGTCGCGAATCGCGCATAGAGCTCTGTCGTATTAGTGAGCTTAATCCCCCCGCAACCGAAAAGATTTTGGAATCTGAGACGATGTTAATACGGAGTCATGGGTATTTTCAAGAGCATGCTAGCGTACTTGAGTTGAACGTAGTTCGTCTGTACATAAGACTTTAGCTGTTCGTCAAACGTTGTGGTGTCTTTGACGTCCTTCAAGAACGGACTAGCAAGTAAAATAGGTCAGTTTCGGACAGTTCGCCAGTTTCACGATCGTAATGACAGCAGTATCAACGTACTATAGTTTCACCAGGTCCTCATCTGTTGATATCGAAGACACTTGAAAGGCAGAGCACGCCGTGGAGCCCTTGAGTGGCACGCATTGGGCCATGGCTGTCGGAGTTGTTGACAAGAAGGTGAGAAGAAGTGTTTTTGTGCTGCTTTGCCTACGAGAGACCTTTCTCTTAACGGAAATGCGATTGATTCTTTTGGTGATGTTTGTTGGTGGTAACTTTTGGCGTTGGGCTCCTCCCTTTGCGGCGCCGACAGCCAACACCTGTTTGCTGGCGTGATCGAGGTTGTTGTCGTCCAATCGCGGCCCGGGGATGCTCAATTCCAACCTCCTAACGTCATGTTCTTCCCCAAGGTGTATCATGGCTCATAATCGAAGATCGAAATCAGAAATGAATGACGGTGGGCCCAAAGCTGGGAATATCTGCTGGAGTGAGTGATACTGCTCGAACTAGATCCCTAACCAAAAAGACCCTTGGCGTCAAGATATGGTCGGCGACGGCCCGTAACCGAGCTGCGGGCTAGCGTGGGGAAAGTAATCGCAACGATTACTGACGTCCAAGTGGTTGTTGTTGTTGAGATGGCGTATGTTGTGAGGTTAACTCGAACTGTCAGACTAGGATAGATGCCACGGCGTAGGTAGAGATCGGATGGTAGCTGGTACTTTGCGAAAGAGTGGCAGACCGGTAGTGCCTTGCTTTTTAGGAAGGCACAAGTCGGTCGGAAGGGATCGTTGTCGTTGCGGTGGTGTTGTTGTCGCACACTGGTACACAGCGCCGGCTGCAATGTCTATTGGGCCCTCTTTGTCGGCAAGGCAGGGCCGCTTGTACTTGGGTAACCTGGGGTGCAGCTGAGTGTTTGGAGTTGAGGCCGGGTGGTCGGTCTGGAGTGGTGAGGTGCCGTCGGGGTGCCTGAGAAGGGTTGGATCGTTGGATGTTGCGGAAGGTGTGGGTGCCTTCAAAGTCGGGTGGTTGGATGAGGTGCAATGCGCCGGCTGCTCCAGTGGCATGCAAGCTTGATAAGGCAAGGCACACCCGTCTCAACAGAAGGGAGAAAAATCAGACACAGGGAGAGTGCAGCACCAGGCGCAGGAACAAGCCGCGCAGATGGTAAAAATGATGGATAAAAAAATGATGGCGCGACCGCGACTGATACTCGATGATGGAGGCGGGCGGTGGCCTAGAGGAAAAAGATGATGAAAGGCCGATTACCGACCCGACCAAGGTCTTCTAGACAGCGCGACCAATTGGACGCGACCGCGATCACAACCTCGAGTTGACGATGGCGGTCCAAGACGATGATGGTCTGTGGAGAGAACCGAGCAAGTCACGACGATTCCCGGATCGAGAACCGTGTGAAGGGAGGGGGAGGAATTGGAGAGTTGAATTGATGGACAGAATCCAGAACTCAATCCGTCACTTCCACTGCCACTGATGAATCGAGAGAATTGTTCCTGCCCTGACATTGGGACTTTGACCCTGACTTGGGACACGCCAGACTGGTGGCTGTCCGCGGATTGGTGAGCGCAACGGTCCAATCTCGCTTGACGATTGCAGGCTCGAAGGTACTGTGTACACCTTTCCTTTTCAGGTTAGCCAGCCGTAGCGCTTTGGGTTTTGATGTCCCTGTCAGAGGGCAGTTTCCGAAACTCCTTCCTTGCAACATCTGCAAAGCTCAGGAACAGCTTTGAGACAAGGCAGGAGCTTTGAAGAATCAATCGGTAAAAATAACGGAAGGCGCCGTACACGAAAACGATAACAGAGATGCGCGACAACTTACCGATTGATAAATGCGATAAGTTTGTCCTTCGGTACTTTGTGTTCTTCGAGTGCCTGTGCGCCACCACCTCACTGACACAAGCAGCTTATCATCTGAAGTCTTTGCCGTAGTTGCCGACTATCAAATATCCCAGCGGCTTTCTAATTTCAACTTCAACAACTTTTTTGGCCACCTTCATTTTTGGGGGATATGAAAAGATGTAAGCATGTCGGCCAACGGTCTCGACAGAGAACAAGACATCATTCCCTTTATATGTATAAGGCCATAGCACATATCATCATCAACATTGGGCCCAGAACCTGGAGTCCAGAGCACGTGTCGGTTATCGGGCTTCTCCAAATCCCGTCCCAAAAATGAAACGAACGATAGCCGCGCCAACTTGAATGGAACCCCTGTCCTACAAGAGTGGGGTTTCGTCTTCATTTTCCCCGGATTTCGGGTGCCGAGCGAACGTGGTCTTTGGTCCAGGGGCACTCTTGCTGTGGTGAAGAGTCTCGAACTTGGACACCCTTTCGTTTGATCACCATCCGTCTGCACCCATGAATGATGTTCAAAAACCGCCCCCGATCCGATATTAACGTTGCCTTGACATTTGGAAGGCCTCCAGAAGTGGAAGTTTGTACACTGGATCCGTCCATAACCGCACGATTGGTGTACGGTACCAACCGAACGAGAAAGCTTTCGACTTCCGAGTACCGAACCGTGCCTCTGGATACCGTCTGAACCTCCTATTTGACAGTGTACTTATACAAAATCATATATACATCGCCAGTCGCCATATGAAACAACAAATATTCAGGCATTCAAGCGCCAAGTGGCATCTATGGACTTCCCTACCTGCCCCTGAGTTGCGTACGTCTGAAAGAATGGCTAACACAGATAAAGACTTCAGACCAGAACAATGTAAACCGAAGTTTTGCATATGAGATGGCATAATCTTGGTCGTCGGTTGCTTGATATGAGCCGGGAAAGATTGCCAAACAACTGCGGTTCATCCGGACACCCAATTACCTCGCCTTGCTTGCCAGAATCTTAAGGTTATACACCCATCTCTTGTTTACCCAGAGCCCCAACATTATCAGAAAATTACCAGTCACCGCAAATGAAATTCAACGAGTGAATAGGTATACGCTGGTGAGATGACAGATCCTGACATATACAAAACAAGCTGACGCCATGTCTTCCCAATACCAACAAGAAATCCAACCAGGAGATGCCCAGCTGTGAACCTTTTTGTACCTCTCCCCTGAACCTTCCACAACCAGTAACCCGTAGGTAGCAGAAGCGAGGATACCAACTCCATTATACTTCCTCCTCATCGTCACCATACAGCTCGCGCTACATTATGCGAAGCGAGTTAGTCAGTAATCGCACAAAAGAGAAGGGAAACATGACACGAAAAGAGAGACGAAGACTAGGGAAGAAGACATACCATAGCCCTAGCCATCCACTCCATATCAGGATCTCCGCCAGTTGCCACAGTAGCAGCAATACTCTCATGCATCTCACTAAATGGCAACTCCGGTAGTGAGACATCTCCCCCATATAGTGAAGAGCCACCACTCTTCCGGCTCTTCGACAACAAGGACCAATGTGATCCCCTCCTGCTGCTACCAGCCGGCTCATAGATATGCGGCAAGTCAGCTGATGTAAAGGCTTCCGCTGTCCCCGCCCATGTCCCCACCCCCGTCCCCGTCGCCATGGCCGGGGCGGAATCCAGAATCGGATCCCGAACCCCACGAGAGACTCTCTTCTTCCCCGTGTCATCACTAGACCTAGTAGTAGCAACACCACCTCCGTTAACAGGCATACTATTCCGCGCCCCTATTCCTGCTGCTCCCACGTTCGCCCCTGCCAACACCCCATACTCGGACATGGAATAATGACCCGGCGCCGAGCTGCCATCAGGTATGTGGAACCTCCTGTCGAATCTCGACAGCAGATACGTGATCACGACCACCAGCTCGATCCCAAAGTTGAAGCAGTAAAACGCCGCCTTCGTCTGCGGCCACGCCGGGTTATTTAGCGGGCGAACGACGAAATTCGTCGCGGCGCGGAAGATGCCGCCCGTGGCCAGCAGCACCGAAGTGAACGTGAGCAAGCCGAATTTCGTCCGGAAGTGTCCCACGCCAAACCTATCGATGGGCGTCCTCCTCGGCACCGACGCCGCGGCCAACACAAGCGGGATAGGCAGGAAGGCTATAACGGCTAGGTAAACGCCGCAAAAGAGCTGGATCCCCTTATCAACCCGATGCGTTTTTCTATTAAGCGTGAAGAAACTCTGGATGGTGACCGTGATGACCATGACCAGCACCGCAACGATGCTCGCAAAGAGACCCCTGAACAAGCGGGTGACACCGGGAGACCAGCCGAAAAATCGATGGTAGGCGCGGATCATGCGCTGCGCGAAGACGAGGTTGGTGATGAACAGCAGCAGAACGCCCGCCGCGACGAAGATCTGCGAGGCGATGGCCAGGTTCTCGTCGTCCGGGTGGAGCGCCCAGGCTATTCGGGTTGCGCAGGCGACGACGCGGGCCATGCAGAAGCCAAACAGCAAACCGGAGAAGAGGAATTTGAAGCCGATGCGGCGGTTGATTTGATAGATGGTCATGTTCATGGCGGCTAGGGTTAGGAAGACGACCAGGAGGACGGAACATATGGGCACGTCGATGGAGCGCGTGGGTTTGCCGCCTAGTTGGGCTTGGTGGGGGAGGTAGGGCGGTCCGTCTGGTTCGGGCTGGAGTTGATCATGACGGTTAGTGAGGGTTTGATAGGAAGTGAAGGGAAGTTAAGTGATAACGAGGTGGTCGGATGGCCAGCATAGAACCTATAACCTCCATTATGGATATATGAGGATATATTGATTTCACATACAGGTGGTGCTTTATTTCCTCCCGTCCCTCCGGAACTGCTTGTTGACGCGCTGGACATCCTCTTTGTTCACCAGTCGCTAGGGAACGTCGATGAAAGATTAAACGCGAGAGGATAAAAGAAGTGTCCATTGAGTCTCCTATTGTAAGGGTAACTGGCCGTTGAGTGACCGCATAGCGAGTTCGTTGACTCTACTACCTCCTCAACCCGAACAGAGAGCGACAGATCGCTCGCTCGATTTGCCTTTTGTGTGGTTCAACACATACGGACACTCGATGATGACACTCCGTTGACCTGGTATTCTTGGGAGTCTAACAGAGGCTCAGCAAAGATCTGCTGTTGGAGGCCAAGCCCGCCACCAATAAGCACAGCTCAGTGGCAGCACGCTGGCTATGCAGACGCAGGAGGTGCTTCGGCATGACGCCTCGAAACTGGTGACGGCTGGAATGGAAAAGTGAAGACGGCCCTGCGGTGGTTGGAAACGGCGTCCACTCAGGGCAAATTCGCTGAGAGGAACAAATTCCCCGAGTCATGACCGAGGGAGATGTTGGAGAAGACTGGAGGTTCTTGTCTTTGAGTAGTTCTGACATCACGAACTGTAACTACCGAAGCACACCATGTGTCTGACCTAATGGTCACTTAGAGTTAGCACACAGCGAGGTGGGTATCATGACACCAGTCCTTGATGAGGCGACTCCCAAGGGTCAACGCGAATGTGAAGTCTTTGCCCCTTTCCGAATAAAAATGCGAGATGATGAAGTAGAGGCAGCACGATCTAAGATCAAATAGAAAGGAAGTGGGTGACATGCACTTACAACGCAGAGTGCCGAATTCCTCCGATGTCAATCGTCATGGCAACGAAGGGTACTGCACTCTTCCCATGTCCGTTGATGTTGACTTGTTCACCTCACCGAGCTCACCGTTAGAATCCAAAGGTTCCGCCCGGTGATTTAGACCACGTGGAAACTACCACCACCGTTGGAGATCTACTCGCCTCTAGAAGCCACCTAGATTAGGGACATGCCGAAAAGTGGGAATAAGAAGGGGATAGAGAAAGGAGACGTCTCAAGCTGAATGCAATGACGCCCCACATGCATTGATCTAGAACAAACGGTTATCGGAATTCTACATGAACTGGCATGATTCAAGGCCTGCTTTCCTTTCCCGTCTTAACATCTGCATTCCCCAGTTATTCATGAAGGGTACACCAAAGGCAACCAAACTGGGTGAGCAAGCAAACAATGAATAAGACGTGACTCCGGGTCGAAGAGACTGGGGCCTTGTCGTCGACCCCTATGTTCGATACATTACTTATCTAATCATGTCTCGCGGAACACAGCGCTCACTATACGAACATGTGTTATGGGAATGGTGTTCTGGCTCCATCTAGCGCGGAGCTTATATATGGTTGCGCGAAGAAATGTATCATTAAGTCTTTTCGCTCTTCTATGTCCCTTATTTTTTCTTCTCAGGGCATAACACAATGAGGCGAAGGTAGGCTCAATCATTAAAGGAAGTAATCGGGAGTTCCTATGGAGTAAAGTATCAGCAAAAGATCCCGTTTGAGGATTTGGTGACTTTCTGGGAGTGGGCGGAGTTGGTATCTTACGTCTCGAGACCATAGGTTCGCCAGCCCTCGGGCAAGGGTCGAATTGCAGGCTAGAGGTCAAGTTAGCAACACTGGGCAGAGCAATGTAAAGGACGCCTACAGAGAGTATCGAACGTACAATGTGTATTTCAGGTGTTCGTCAATTTCCATGATGGCGGCTTGGTTACCGCATCTGTAGCAGTAGTTGGGTGCTACATGATCATGTTAGCAATGTCCAAGGGGGAAAGCATGCAGGTTCTGAAGGAGTCTGCTTACCCGAGAATATGGTGACAACGTTCCTGTCTTGGGACCAGTTATAACCCTCCATCACAAGCTGATGCGCTCTGGCAATAAGCGTCAACCCGTTGTTATGGTTAAACGCTTCTGAGATATCCTGGCCGAACGTATAGCCTGCACCACGGGGCGAGATTCCCCATCCGCAACGGTCATCGGGATCCGACCACAGAAGGTCGCACATGGGGCCCTCATGGGGAACCTCCTGGATTCTGTCGAGCCCTCTGATGTTGTCGAGCGTGTCGATGCTAGGGGAAAGACCACCGTGCAAGCAGAAGATTTGGTTGTCAATCAGGGCGGTGAGAGGAAGGTAGTCGAAAAGGTCGGTAAAGTACTTCCAGACGTTGGCATTACCATACTTGCGCAGGCACTCATCGTAGAAGCCGTATACTTGTGTGATCTGGCGCGACTCGTGGTTGCCGCGCAAAATGGTGATGCGGTTGGGGTATCGGATCTTGAGGGCGACAAGCAAAGTGACAGTCTCGACGGAGTAGTATCCACGATCGACATAGTCACCTAGACATTGGGGCGGAGCGCATTAGAGAAACTAGCCATGGGATGACGGAAGTTGCTGAGGTCGGAGACATACCCATGAATAGATAGTTGGTGTCCGGGTTCGAACCTCCGATCTTGAAGAGCTCCATCAAGTCATGGAACTGACCGTGGATATCTCCGCAAACGGTAACGGGGCATTTCTGTCATCGGTCAGCGCGCCTGGCCTGTTAGGTTTGGGAAGTTGGTGAAACAGGACACATACCACCGGCTGCACATTGGATTCGTCTTGAAGAACTTCGCGTGCCTGTATCAATCCATCTTGTCAGCATCAGAACCCGACAACGGTGCACACGCGACCGACAACCCTCGGCAGGGTCGCCCTTCCCCACGGTAGCAGCAGCGGCAGGGGGCTTTTGATGTGCGGGAAGCCAAGCCGGAGCGGGCGCGATCGCGATGGTAAACGGCGGGCGAAATGATGGCGGGACCGACCTTCTCGCACAATCTCTGGACGTCAGACTCAGCCAACTGCTTGCAGCTCATCAAGCTCTCAATCCAGCCGTCCAGTGTCGGGATGGTGGCTGGCTCAAAGTTGGACGAGCTAAGCTCGGCGGGAACGCGCCCGACATCCTCCATATTCGTATCCATGGTGGTGGGCAATTGGGCTTGCTGGAGGGCTGCTGGAGGGTATTGCGGGGTTAGGTGCGGGCGGTCGTGGGCGATAACAAGACGGTGATCAGGATGTCGTCGATGTAGCGGGCGTTGATGGTGTTGAAGGCAATGACGTTGTAATCTCCTCGGGCGCGGCGCGGATCAAGCAGCAGCTCAAAATTGGGCAGGTGGAGGGTGAGCCGGGTTGCAGGGCAAGGCAGAGTCGCCTCCCGTGTTCTCCTTTTGGACCGCAGGGGGTGAAGATGGACGGGAACTGATGAGTGGTAGCTGATGCTCCAGATTGACCTTTGTCCACTAAACTAAATCAAAGACGGCGCTGGGGCGTCGAAAAGAGCTTGCCGGTCCCCGTGAGAGATGTCCTATCTCGGCAGAGGGGTCTACTGGGACGCAATCGAAGACTGAGGGACAGAAAGCCGTTCGTGACGTTTCGCGTGGTGTTGTCCCTTTTTTCGTGTGTCAGGTTGCTAGGTAAAAGGTAGCGGATTGTGGTGGTGACTGGGCTTGGTAAGGTAGGCGAGTTGAAGAGTGGTGGTGGGTGGAGGTGGCCGTACGTAGGTGGGTGGTGAGTGGTGCAGTACCTAACAACACAAACGAAGTGGGCTGGGCAGCAGCTGAGAGATTGCGCGCCCTTGTAAGGTTGGTGGTCAACGTTCCTCTCTAGCTCCTTGTTAGCAGGTATTGGAGACCCGCCCGACCCTGCTGGCGTTGTGTTGGTGAAATTGCCGGGGTGTGAGTTCAGGTCGAAGCCGGGAGGTTGAAGGCTTGGGGAGGGAAGCCGGGGCCCAAGCATGGCTCGGGTGGCTTCCGTCATTTGGCTGGATTGCGCGAGCTGACACAAGAAGCTGGATTCAATGGATTGCAGTGCCCAGCTGTGCAGGACTGGGTACCCGCAAATTGAGGAGAGGCGGGCGGCCTTGCGCCCAATGTCAGCACCTGGAATCCCCGCTAGCGTCCCTGCCTCGCGTGTACTTCTCCACGCATTTCTCGGGGTAAGGTACCTCCTGCTAGGGAGGGGCAAGGGGCACACTCGCTTTCACGGGCACAGAAGGCACGAAAGTCATAGCCCAGCATGGTAGGGAAACAATGGCATACGGAATGAGTCTCATCATGGGAACCACGACAAGTGGTTGAGATGAAACGCTGGCCTATGTGTATCAGAAATGACACGAAACGTCATTTCCCCTCTGTCCGAGCACCAGTCCTAAAGATACACTGAGCTCCAGGCCATGGATCCGGTCACGGTACTAATGACCATACTTCCCTCATCATTGATATACTACGATTAGTTTAACTTGCTCATTATATATAACTCCAATATCACTTCAGTAGATCGGTTGTCTCCGTAACTTGGGTCCATCACAGCTCAGGACAGACCCAGTCCAACCGGAGCACCCTCAGACACTGTAGCAGATGTACCGACATTCCCCCCAACCAAATTCCGAAAGTCAAGACCAATATCGGAAAGCATGGTTGCGTGCTCTTTTGCCCTGTTCATACACTCCGTCCATACCTCGCCGCCCTCTTCCGCACTGCTGAGCTGTCTTGCTAGGATGACGTTGAAGGCGTCAACTTCCTCCTTGGCCCACTTGACGCAGGCGCTCATCATAGGTGGCGGGAAGCAATTTTGGAAGCAGATAACCGTATTCCGGATGACTGTGAAGTAAACAAATGAGATCTCCCAGATATACAGGTGTAGATCTCCCTGGAATATACATTGCCTACGGCGCGTTAGTCCAGTGCCTTTAAAAATTGGATGCCTTACTGGTTTGGGCAGACATACCTTGATCGCTTTTGAATGACCTCACTTCGGGCCTCAAGGTAGGCTTCTCTCGCTCTATCCTCAAAGCCCAACCTGGCCAACCACGTTACGTTCCTCTTGGTCTTTTTCTGGTCATGATGAGAGTTCACAAGCTCACGGACTATCAACGTGGCAATCCTCCCGCATCTCTCATCAACCTTAAACGAGATAAAGTCCTGTGCAATCATGTTGTTTTTCAGACCCGAGGCGAGGTTTTGCAGCATCTCGATTCGTGCAACGGCTGGCTCAATTTGCTGAAGGGCGATATTGATGTCCAACTCATCCATTTGGCTCTCAACCCAGCGTAGATTCTGCTGTTTTCCATCGACTTCGATAAGCATGTCCTTGATATCGGAGAGGGTCTCCAAAAGCTCCGTCTTTTGGAGCAGGCCGGGATCGCGTGAGGCAAAGTAGTTGATCGTTTCTTTCGCTTTGTTATTCGCATCTCGTTCGGACTGAAGGTTCCTTCGTAGTTCCTCCACCGTTTTCCGAATATTGAGGATCAAGGTCGTCTTTTCAGGGTCCTCGGGCTTCTCGGTTCTGTAAATAAAGGACTCGTTCTGCCCGCCACCTCTGACCATGATCGCATCAGCAAGCTTATTACGGCCATTTGACGAGTCTCCGGTTCCAGCCATGTCAACAACCTCGACGTCCAAGAGATGCCAGCAACGGTCAGCAACGAGCTTCGTCATCGGCCCCCGTGCATCCGCTCCAGGTGCGTCGACCTTTCTCTTCTTGCGAGAAGCAATCAACAGGTGATCGTTGAGCAGAAATATTTGCATGGATCGCCTCGACTTGTAGGTGGCGTTATCTAGTTCAACCCATGGGCCTGCATTCTGAACAACATGGCGGCCTTGTGAGTTAGGCAAGAACTTTTGTGATCCTTCGACGCTTTTGTAGAGAGCCTATCGTTATGTTTAGAAGTGGCAAGAGTGAATGCGGGTCACAAGTTGAGACTTACCTGCATTTGAGCACTCCATAAGGCTGTCCGGTCAGTGATGGAGCTTCGCCTGTCTCTCTTACTCAACGTCAACTCGGGTCCCAGATTCCCCGAGCTATCGGCACTGTTGGATGAAGCTCGAAGGGCGGTGGTGTTCGTCTTGAGTTCCGACATAAGGTTGCGGAGGGTGCGCATCTCTCCCTTGAGCTTTTCGGCCTCCTTGCTGATCTTGATAAACTGCGTGCGGTTCTGATAAACATTTTGCTGAAGGTCGGCAGCTGCTCGAGCCTTGAGCTGTTTTAGAGCGTCTTCGTAGTCCCGTATCTCGTCTTCGGTCGCTTCACCAAGAACCTCGGCCACATCTGGCAGCAAGTCAGTAACCTAGTTTGTAACCCCTATCCTTGTCCAGGCCTCAGGACTTACACTGCTCGGGAGCAAAGTTAGGGTCTCTCAGGGCTCGTACGTCTACCCGAGGTGGTTCTCTGCCCAAAGGCCCAACTCCCCCAGCATCCCCCCCTCTCGATGGTGGTGGGCCGACCTGGGCTTGCATGTACTTTTCGAAGTCCGGAAGAGCAGGCATGGGATTCGACGACAGGTCAAAGTCGGTTGGCATATTACCGAAGCGAGTCGAATATCGTTTCTTGACCAAATCTGATGTCTATTGGAAAGAACAGATACACTAGTTAGCCCCGACATTCTAGCCATCGGCCTTGCTGATGAGAGGGAGTTCCTCTTACCTTGCCGCCCGCCATCGGAGGCCGAGGCCGCATCATACGTGGTTCGTCGGCCATGGTGGCCCCCGGAGGAGGTTGAGGCATGCCATTGTCTTGTGGTATCGGAGCCGAGATCTGTCTGGGAGCGCTGATGGTTGGGCGGTTCTTCCGCTTGCCACCGCTTCTCAGCGATATCTTCGACCGTTCTTCGGACATGGTGGTCGTCGCTACTCGGTAATCACCCGTCGGGACATAAGACTCGAAGGAAGAGGTCGCGTTGCTGTTGTTGTCGTCGAAGCTATCGCACGGCTAGCTAACCGAAATACAGCTAGTGGCGAGGCGTCGGTGATTAGGAGGGTAAGGATCGCGGAACAACAGACCACCAGATTGACTGAGGTTGTTGATAGCTTCAAAAGTGACATGGAGACAGACAAGTGACGACCTCCAGGCTGATGGCATTGGGAAACGTCTCCGCAGTCCGGATGGACACACCCCCTGGAAAGCGGGTACCTGTACGTACCTGGCCGTGGACGTCCCTTCTGTAACCCCGGCCGATGCCAGCACCGTGGAAAGCCATTGGCTCGTGCACCCACTGTGTTCAAGTCCTTGCTAGCGTCATTGGCCCGTGAGCTTGTCGGTAACGCGGAGTGCAATTTTGAAAAAATATCACATCGAGATTCGGATCAGGTCGTGTTTGGAAGAACGTCAAATCCAAAGTTGGAATAATCTCGAAAACAACAGTTCGCGTAGTGTACGGGTACGATAATTACGGTATGTGCAATGTTACTTCTAGCCATGTTCGGGAGCACCGTCGATGTTGCTTGTCACCTTGTGAACCTCCCGTGGAGCCCGTGTCATATACTGACCCCACTTGCAGCAGCAGTCTTTCCGGTACGGAGAAATCGAGAGGCTTATATCCATCATTTCTTCTCTCTTGATTCTCCCCCGCATCTACCATCACCCGTCTAAACCACCACAACCAGCCCAACAAGATGCC